ATCCATCCATCCATCCATCCATCCATCCATCCATCCATCCATCCATCGTTTTCTACTCATTGATGCAAGAGCAGTGTTTTTTCCTTTGAACTGACTAACCCATCTTCCTGCCAGTGAGAACCCCATCGTCTTTTTAACAGTGTTTATCCACTTATTGCCATAAAGTGACATAGATGACCGTTAATGTTTTAGGACGTGTTTTGGCAGCTCTGCCTTTAAAGTTGGTGCACAGAGTCCAGTAAAGTGACACTGAAATGAATAAAATATGGATCAGCTTCCATTTTTAGGCAAAGTGTGCTTCATGTAATTATGAAAGTTTATTCCATTAATACTTTAGGCTTTCAACAAGGGAGACTGATTTAAATAAGTGATAATGGACACAAGGACTAATCAGGCTCTAAAAATTTGAATAAGGATGATTTTGGGGGGGGTAGAATTTCTCACAGCAGATATTCTCTTTTTGTACTCATCAGAATTGGTTGGATCCTTCCAAAGAGATTAAGAAGCAGATTAGGGGTAAGTGTAGTAGTCAGACTTGCGCTCTGACAAATCCACATGTCGTAATTTACTGGGTAGATATTCTTCACAAAACAACCTTGATGATGATGTGTTCACAGTTGGTTCCTGGATTTTTGGCTTTGCTGTCAAGTTTTATCCTCCAGACCCGTCTGTTCTCATTGAAGACATCACCAGGTAGGTCTTAGTAGAAGGAACAGAGTGTTTCCTGTTATCAAGCTGCTTCTTTTGGTTCTTTGAATAATTTCTGAGGATCATTTTTTTTTTAGAGGTCACAGACAGGATATAGAAACTTAAAGAAATAGATACTGCAAGCAAAACGTAAAAAAATAAAGTATTTAGTGGTAGATCAATGGTAAAACCTTGTAAAAAATAGTGTCAAAATATATATATTTTTTTATTTCTGCTGGTTTTACTAGTTTGATACATGCCAAGGCTGCTCATGTGCCGTTGCCAGGGAACAGTTTTACACTCGTATTTTAAAGTCATAAGTCAGATCTGACAAGAAAAGCTTTAATATTTATCTGCTTTGTGTTTCCATGTTACTAAACTAAATCAGAATCATATAAATGAGTACATGTTTTTTACTCTTTCAGATATTCCACCTTTTGTTTAGTTTATGCTCAAAATCTGTTTCAGCGGTCTCTAATCTGCTCAAAGTACTGCACACAAAGTAAAGCAAAGAAACACAAGGTATTTTTGGAGTTTCATGTTACATTTACGCAGCGTCTTTGTTAGGACACAAGTGAACCAATGTTGGTCCTGCTTGTGTCAGTCGTCTTTGAGAAGCTTTTAAAATCTGACATGAATGCAGCTGTCTCTTAATTTATTGGACTTAATTGAAGGCACCGCAGTAAATATTGAAATGTAAGTTAGATCAAACGTATTGAGCAGCAAAAGCTTGATTTTTTTATTTTTTAAATCTCATTTTATAAGTTTTAAGTTTGTTTTATATTTTTTTATGTCTTGGCAAGTCAGATGTTTAAGTATGACATATTTTTAGACCAAATACTTTTCTTTGATATAGAATATTTTACCTACATTAATGCAGTTTTCACAGAACACGTTCTGTGTATAGTTGTAATGTACAGTTTATATTTGTGACACAATGAAAACTGAGCAGTAGTCAAAATAATTGTTCACAGACCCAAAAACAAATGCTTACACGCTTTTCATCACTCCAGCTTCAAGGTCACAAATCAAGGTCAACGTTAAAACAAAATCTTTGCTTGTCCATAATTTCTGATTCGCTGCAGTGAATTGAACGAAACTTGAAGCTAATTTGTACTACTACACGGCATCTTGCGTAGTCTTTTCATCACCCCGGATTCAAGGTTAAGGTCACAAATCAAGGTCAAACGCAATGCTTGTCTGGACCATTCTGATCTGCTCAGGATCATTTTATGAAACTTGATACACATTTGCACCACTACTAGACAATGTCACATAATCTTGCATCGCCCCAGCTGTAAGGTCAAGGTCACAAATCAAGGTCAAATGTAAAACGAGGTATTTGCATATCAGTAATTATTTGTTGACGGGTGTCTAATGTGACGTATGCAGTATATATATTTTTTTCTTTATCTCGCACACTTAGCTCTACATCTCTCCAGCTGCACCCACATCTAGCATGGTCCAAACGTTGGTTCAGCCATCACAGACACCAGAGTGAAACCAAATCCAGCAGATGGTTTGGATCATTTTTAATTCTATCCTTCAAGTCCAGCGTTAGCAGCATCCATCCCCTTGTGTTTCTTCAGGTATTACTTGTGTCTGCAGCTGAGAGATGACATCCTGTCCGGTCACCTCCCCTGCTCATTTGTCACACATGCACTTCTGGGCTCCTACACGGTTCAGGCTGAACTGGGCGACTACGACCCCGAGGAACACGGCCCCGACTATGTCAGCGAGTTCCACTTTGCCCCCAACCAAACACGAGAGCTGGAGGAGAGAGTGATGGAGTTGCACCATAACTACAGGTCGGAGAAATTATGTCAAAGTGATTTTAGAGTTTTGATTTGTGGAAGGAATACGGGAGAGACATGACAAATATTTGGGGATTTGCTCTGTAGAGGAATGAGTCCAGCAGAAGCAGAGATGAACTTTCTTGAGAATGCCAAGAAGCTCTCAATGTACGGAGTGGACCTGCATCACGCTAAGGTGAGATGTCTCCCCATTCTATCCTACTGAAACACTTCCTCTATATTTGCACTTTCTGACGTGCTTTGATTCTCTGATGTGCATTAACTAGGATTCAGAAGGAATCGACATCATGCTTGGAGTGAGTGCAAACGGGCTGCTCATCTACCGAGACCGTCTCAGGATCAATCGTTTTGCCTGGCCCAAAATTCTTAAGATCTCATACAAAAGAAGCAACTTCTACATCAAAATCCGCCCTGGAGAGGTAAAAAAGAACCTATTCTTATCTTTTCATTAACGTTTGCTTGGCTTAGTCAAAGTTCACTGAGCAATCACTGCAACCCCTCACAAAAAAGCTTTGAGTTACTGGAATGAAGGATTATCAGGTAAAGAGCGTCACGTTTGTCTTGCATGATTTCACAATTTAAGGTATGTTATTGTATTATTTCAGTGGTTCAAAGCAGCATAAAGTCATTTCATGGTTTGATAAAAGTGTTACTTCTCTTATTTATCTGGTGCAAATTATGTGACGACAGCTGAGAGTATTTTTTTGTACATTTCCCACCCCCAGAAATAATGTGATAACAATTATGATGGATCTTTTCTTAAGGGTTTTTTCTTCTCTTCTTACAGCAACTTTAGATTTATTTTTTTAATTTTTAACAAGGATTTTTTAAAGCTACTTTAAAACCCACTCTAGATTTCTGCTTAATGATTCATATTTTACGTCAGCCCTAAGCCTTTAGGATATCTGCACTCACTGTATTAAGCTTTAATACATTTATATTTTCATTCATTTATATCTTCACTGTAAAAATCAAATGTGTTTGTCGCGCACACTTATTCTCCTCATCGGCTCGTATGTCAGCTGTCACTTTAAGTTTGCCTGGAGCATTTTTTAATGTGTTTTTGGAATGTCTTGAGAAGGGACTACTAGCCTTTAAAAATCCGGTGATGCTAAAAACTTGTTGATTTGACAGTAATTTCCTGTCTTCACACCCCTGAACATCAACAATAAGTGCATGAATAACCAATTTAATGGTTGGTTTGAGCTGGAAATTAAACTTGAAATTGCCATAAAAGCCAAAATACAGCAATTTAAATAAAAAAAGTAAATATATATATTTTTCATAGCTGTGGAGTAAACACACTTCATCCTGCTGCCAACTTTCCATCTTCCCCGACACGTTGCTCCCTCACTCTGTTGTTTTTTTCTTCCTCACCCCTTTACCCCCCCACCCCCCCACTGCCTCCACCACTTTCACCCCCTCACTACTCAGTATGAACAGTTTGAGAGCACCATAGGCTTCAAACTGCCCAACCACCGGGCCTCGAAGCGTTTGTGGAAGGTCTGCATAGAACACCACACCTTCTTCAGGTAGGAGCTGATGCTCACAGGCACCGTTAGCAGTTAGCATGACAGCTAAAATGAAGGTCTCTGTTTCTTTATATGTGGTCTCCTGAGGTTTTGTGAAGAGCTGACGAAACATTTCTTTTCAGAAATACAGTAGTCTCTTGCTACATCGCGGTTCGTTTATCGCAGATTTGCTCTATTGTGGTTTTTCAAAATAAGACTGGACATGACACACAGTCGGCTGATTGATGGATGAGCCGCACGATGGGCATGGAGTTTTTATTTAAAATAAATTATTTTAAATTATTTAGCATCTCCTACGCGCCTTTGTGCAACTCATACTGCAGGATAAACTTCCTGCTGCAGCTGCTCAGATGTTCAGCGTGCAGAGCGTAGAAGTGGGCGTGGCTAAGAGCGCTTGCAGGTTGCTGAGAGCAGCGGAGGCAGAGAGCTGAAATCATCACATTCTGTGCTCTTTTAGAGCGTTTAGAGTTTAGAAACATTGTTTAGAATATTGCAAGAGTGTGGGAAGGGTTCTAAATGCCTATATACATACATACATATATATATATATATATATATATATATATATATATATATATATACTAAAATAAACTACTACTTGTACTACTATTCCTACTTCGCGGTTTTTCCACTTATCGCGGGTCTTCAGGGTACGGATCCCCTGCGATAAACGAGGGACTACTGTAGTTTGTTTTTTTTTAATTACACCTATTGGTCTTTGAACTGAACCATTTTTAGATTTTTTTAAACACTTCCAAAAGTGGAAAGCATGTGTTGTATACACATAAAACAAACTTAAATAAACCAATTCAAAAATGCATTTGTTCACATTTTGCTGTTAGTAGGCGCTCACAAAACCACATCATGTTGTTAATTAATGGTTTATTAAAAAAAATGTGCAAAAGGGCTTAAAGTATAGTTTTTGCACCAACAAGATGATTTGCACAGAGGGATTAGCTGAAATCTTGGCAAAGAAATCCGACAAGTGGAATAAAAAAAGGAGTGGCAGGCCTGAAACCAAAAATCAATGTATGGCAAACGAACAGTATCTTTTTCCAGCTGATCTATCTGCAGCATGTCAGGCTTTTGGCTGATCGCTCTTCATCTTGTTAGTGCAAAGATGTTATTTAATCCCTGTCAAACTGAATTTTCCTTGGCATTTTTTAAGTAGATTCAACTACTGAAACAGCTGAATCTGTCTTTTTGAGAACAACACTGTCTTTGTGGCAGCAAGCTGATAACAAAGAGACCAGTTAATTCAAGACTTTTGTAAAAGATCATTAGCAGAGATTTGTAAGAGTGGAGTTATTTTTCTGTCCTTAAATCAAGCCTTTTCACAGGTTGGTTTCTCCAGAGCCCCCTCCAAAGGGTTTCCTTGTGATTGGCTCCAAGTTCCGCTACAGTGGGCGAACCCAGGCCCAGACCAGACAGGCCAGCGCTTTGATTGACAGGCCTGCACCACAGTTTGATAGGTCCGTTAGCAAGCGGTACCTGCTGCCTCGAAGTATAGATGGAGGTACGAGCCCAGACACTTTCACTGTCGGTCAAAGTTTACTCATATTTTTGATTTGATGTTTTAAAAAGCTTTACCGTCAACCTCCGGGTGTTTTATTGCCCCCCCCCCCCCCCCTCACTTTTTACCAGCCTCAGCTCTAGGAGATAGTATGTACCAGCTGTCTCAAAAGAGCTCCAGCGAACGCACACAGTTTCTGTCCCGAGAAGACCTGGATCAAGAGGGCAGTCTCGACCTGGACCATGATCAGTACCAGGATCAAGACCAGGACCTGTACGCAGATCAGGAAGAGGAACAACCGGAAAGGCCGAACCGAAAGCAGACATCGTGTCCACGCACTTCAACGCCCAGCAGAACCTTGGAGCTCAAGGTACAGGGTGGACACACACTGAAGCTTGGAGGTTCTTTCATTCTGGCTCGGGTTGTGAACGATCTTAGTTCTGACAAAGGCTGAAGGTTCTGATTATGGTACATCGTCCTCGAAAAGACAATCAGCTTTAATGATTGCCACCTGACTGAAGAGAACTGTTGCCTGAAGCATTATGGGAATACATACATGTTCACAGTTTTAAACCCACAGAGATTTAAAATTATTTCATTAATTAAAAGGTTTGCACCGCAAGTCAAACCTCCTGCATGAACTTAAACTCTTAATCTTTTGCTTTCACATTTTTTTTGTTTAAAGACACTAATCATCTCAGTCTGAGTTAAACTCTTCAAAAATCTAACCTGACTTTTCGGCTGCTTATTTTATATTTTTCTAACCAGAACCCTGCCAGTCTATGCAGTTTCTTCTTTTCTTGCTGCTAACACTGCTAACCTCCGCTTTCTTTCTCCCACATTTCTGCCCCCCACCCAACATTGTCCTCTCCTGCAGGACGAGGAGTCAGGCTCACCTCTAGACTCAATGCCCGAGGTATTTTGGACATGGACCTCTGTGTCTGTGGCTGTTTTAGGTCATGCAATAGTACTTTGTGTTAAAGCACAAACTGTTGTTTTTATTGTTTGTTCAGGGAAACATTTAATGATTTCAGGATTTGATCCAATAGAATTCAAACAAACAACATGTTGATGTTCAGAAGACCAGAAAAAGGAAATATAAAGAAATAGTTCATACCTTTTGAAGTGGAAAAACATATGGATAATTAGTATCTGACCCATTATAGATAGCATGCTGAGCAGCCTGAGTTTGGAGGAATGACAGTTAACAGATGAGCTAACGACTAGTCTGAGTGGGGCCAGGACCAGAATGGACTGATGCCATCTCAAACCAACTTGTCTCAAGACATTTAGAGCAAATTATCATATTTTTTGGACTATAAGGCATGCTTAAAATCTTTTAATTTTCTCAAAAATTGACAGTGAGCCTTATAACTTATCCTTATCCTGACTAGACAAACAAGCACATATCAGGACCCCCTGCAGTTTGCTTATCAGCGTGGACTTGGAGTTGAAGATGCCATCATACACCTGCTTCAGCAAACTCACTGTCATCTAGTAAAGGCAGACAGAACTGTGAGAGTCATGTTCTTTGATTTCTCCAGTGCATTTAACACAATCCAGCCTGGTTTGCTTTGTCAGAAACTCCAGAAGACTCAAGTAGAGGCCTCAACAATCGCCTGGATCAAAGACTACCTGACGAACAGACCACAGTTTGTGAAACTGAAGGGTTGTGTGTCTGACCAGGTGGTCAGTAGCTCAGGAGCACCACAGGGTACTGTACTCTCACCATTCCTTTTCACTCTGTACACTTCAGATTTCCAGTACAAAACAGACTCCTGTCATCTGCAGAAATATTCTGATGACTCTGCAGTGGTCGGGTGTATCAGAGATGGACAAGAAGCTGAGGACAGGGAACTGATGGACCACTTTGTGGCATGGTGTGGAAACAATCATCTCATCTTGAATGTGAACAAAACAAAGGAGATGATTGTAGATTTCAGGAGAATCAGGAACAGGTCCAATCCTATTTCCATCATGGGAGAAGAAGTGGAGGTGGTGGAGAAGTATAAATACCTTGGAGTTCACCTGGGCAACAGACTGGATTGGAAATGCAACAGTGAAATTGTCTACAAGAAGGGACAGAGCAGACTGTACTTCTTGAGGAAGCTGAAGTCCTTCAACGTTTGCAGCAAGATGCTGCATATCTTCTATAAGTCTGTTGTAGAGAGTGCTATCTCTTCTGCCATCATCTGCTGGGGTAGCAGAACCAGAGCAAGTGCCCTTTAAAACATCAACAAGGTCATAAAGAAGGCTGGCTCAGTTCTGGGGACTCCTCTAGAACCTTTGGAGATGATTGTTCAAAAAAGGATTCTTCATAAAATGAAGATTATAGACAACCCTCAGCATCCTCTTCATCAGACTGTCATACAACAGAGTGTCTTCAGTCAGAGGCTTCTTCAAATACGTTGTAGGACAGACGCTACAAGAGATCCTTCCTGCCCACAGCCATCAGCATCTAGAACAACTCTTTAATGAAACCAGGATGATGAGTTACAACAACATTTAATTTCCCTCTGGGATTAATAAAGTATTTTTGAATTGAATTGAATTCAATTCGGTGCTCAAAAATCTGTCAAAATTAACTTGTTTCGCTTAATGCGCCTTATAATCCAGTGCGCCCGTTCATTGATATTGCGCCTTATAGTCCGAAAAATACGGTATATGAAAACTATTTTATAAACTGTTACACAGGAGTCACTTTGACGTTACAGTTATTCCTCCATGAATTATCACAGGAAGTGCTAGAGACAGCTGCTGCCGCCTCTATTTGCACTGACAAATATTTGTAGATTCTATGTAAGTAAAGCTGCTTTGGTTGCAGCTCAAATCCAGTCAGATTTAAACTCTGTTTCTCCAAACTAAGATTTTTCTAAAACCCATCTGCAACAAGTAAGATAATAACTATTCATTATTATTATTGTTGTTATAAAGTGTATTCATTTTTAAAAAACAAATCAATTCTATGTACTATAATAAATACAATCAAAAATAAAATGAAAGGCAGCAGAAAGAAGAAGAAAAATCTTATCATATCTGCCCCTTTTAACCAAAATATTAATTCAAACAATAATAATCTTCAAATAACAACAATAATAGCAACAATTCGTACAAATACACAATAAGCTATTTCATATTTTTTAACAAATCAACTTTGATCATTCTCTTAAACATACACAGTAATCTGGCATTTTTAACATCACTCTCCAGATTATTCCATAATCTAATTCCTTGGATTGAAGTAGACTGTTCTTTCAAACTAGTTCGAAATTTAGGTTTCACAAATATCTCTATCCCCTTAAGATTATAACAACTCTCTCTTTTAACAAAATTTAATTGGATATTTAAAGATAATGAGCCGTATACATAACTGATAAAATACTATAATCTACCAAATCATGGAATCTCAATAACTTCAGTTGCTAAAATAATGTATTTGATGGATGATTGAAATGATTTCTAGTAATAATTCTTACAGCTCTTTTCTGTACAACAAAAATAGGATTTGTAATTGTTTTGCACGCTTTCCCCCAAACATCAATACGATAAATTAAGTGTGGAGCAATTATTATGTTATACAACATATACAGAGCTTTATCATTTAATAACTCCCTTACTTTGAACAGTACTGCAATAGATTTAGCTATTTTTATTCTCACCTAATAACTATTCATAATAACCACTGTCCCAGATCCCTCTTGAAAAAATATGAACTATCACTTTAAGTACTGTTGACATTCTTGTAAATCAGCTGTATTCTAGTAGACACATTTTATGATAATCTACAAGCCTAAGAATTTACCTTTTTCTGTTAAGAGAAGTTTAGATTTATTTTCTAATATGCTGCCTTTGTAAATTATTATTATTATTTTGTCTCGTATGAGTCTTATATGCAAGCATGACTCGTAATGTTTTGGGCTGCACAGGAAGTATTAGCATCGTGTTAGCAAATTAAGAAACTTCTCATTTGTGGCTTTGTAATGCATCAAAGCTTTTTTATGAAGAAGAGTGGGAATAATCCTCTTCCAAACACTTAGTCCCAGTCAATTAATGACTGCAATAATCATCATTTGGCTGACACATGAATGGATTGTCCCTGTCTTCTTGGCAGAACATTCTTCAGCTAAGCAGTCTGAGTCAGAGCCCACCCTCCCCACTCCACCCCACTGGTGTCAAATGTTTCAGTCTGGCTGTTTGCCTGCCTTTTTGACTCACCTGCAGCATTTTACCTCTTTGTCTCTGCACGCATCTGTTCTCCCTCCCCTCAAACTCTTCCTTTGCTAAAAAAAAAAAACATCCATCTCAATTGCCCCACCTAATCTGTCGGACAAGGATGTGGTCCACCTTCGGTCCAAACAGGAGGTACTGCTTGTTCTCTTTTCTTGGCATGTGCTTTGATGAATCGGACCCGGTGTTCTGTGTTGTCTGGTTCTTATCTGCATCTCACTTATTCCTCCAATCAACCAGCTTTACATCTGGAGTTAAAATCTTTGTACTGTGCACAGAATTCTCGTTTATGTTAAGGAGTCTTTGCCTTTTCATCATTAATTATGAATTAATTAAAGGCCTCAATTAGCCCTGGCTTTGTACTTCAGCTTTTAGAGCCTGAAAAAGGGAATAAACGTTAATCCGCTTTCAAGTTCAAGATGTATAAAATTTTTTCCCTGCACTTAAGAAATGTTCAAACCTCTACACGTCTAATTGGATTTCTTTTCTTCTGTATTATTATGTAAAAAAAAAAAAAAGATTAATTATTATAAGAACCACAACAAGATCAGCTTTAGAAACATATGTAACATGACACATTAAAAAGTAGCTTTTTAACTTGTGTTCATTTCTCTTTTATTTGTGCGCCCTTTACTGTGTGAGCAGCAGTTCTTGGATAAGCCAGAAGATGTTTTACAGAAGCACCAGGCCAGCATCAACGAGCTGAAGAGGGCTCTGAAGCAGCCTAACAGTAAGATGGCCCAGAGAGAGAAATGCATCGCTTCAGCTGCTCACCCAGCAGAAGCTCCTGAGTGGAAATCAGTAAGAACAACTTCGGCTGCTATAATTCTTCTATATGTCATTGCGTGTGTAATTCCATACCAACTCTGAAATTATGCTAGTCTGCATTGTGATATATTTTTTTAAAGTGATAAATTAATTTTTTTATGAGTTGACATGGAATAACCCATGTTCTGAACTTGATGTATTCTGCTCTGTTGGTCTTAATCATTGTCAAAACGTGATCTCATAAAGCTGAAGCGCAGTGACAGACACCTTGAAAATGTGATGCGTGAGATTAAATCTTTTCCTTACGAGTCATTTATCCGCGTCTACATTGATGATCACAAATGGAGGAGCGTTTTTATTTTATTTTAATTTTTTAGGCTAATTCAACTGTCTACTCTGTCAATTCAGGCAACCAGTGATGCCAAATTGATTGAGAAGGAGGATGGTAATGAGCGAACATGGGAATCTTACTCTAAATCAGAAAAGAGTAAGATCTCTTCAGAGGGTACGGACGCACTTGCAGCAACACTTCAGACTGGAGCAATTATGAATAATTGCCAAACATCCCGGGAGTCTTCAGAGGCTAAACCTGGAACGTCTATAATTGCAGCCGGAGGACTGAAAGATACGAACAAGATAGGTGATGCATCTAATGGGCATCATGATTCAGTATTAGCAAGGAATCCATTTCATGAAAATGGATATGGCTCTCCACCTGACAAACTGATGGGCAAAATAAAAAATGACATGAGATACTTTCAGTACGAGCACCGAGAGAGGCCGAAGGATTTTGAATCTCTTGTGGATTATTTCCCAAAGGACAAAGGCAGAAGTGAGAGGGACAGGAGGCACTGTGATGCTCGGAAACTAAAAGACCTCAGCCCCACGGGAGAGAACTGCATCAAACCTGTGAACTCTCATGCAGAAGTCACCAAAATAGTTCCACTCAAGCCGCAGAGATCAAAGAAGTCTTTGAATAAAGAGAACAAAGATACAAATCCTCAAACTCAAAGCTGGTCTGGTGGAAACAGGTCTAGTGGAGCTGGAGACGCACGAACGACAAAATCCTCCTGTGAGTCAGAGAGGAGCCTGCACGACAGCGCTGCACCTCAGTCTTTAGCGCTGACTCAGCAGCAAGCCGCCGTCCATCAGCACATCAAGAACGACTTGTTTGCTCAACACGAGCTCAGAGACGGCAGGGATTCGACAGGACAAGCTCCGTGGACGAGAGCGAGCTCTCTACATGTGGGCAGTTCTCAGAGCGTCTCAGAGTTCAGCTCAAAATTCCCCACAGCTCCCCCTCGCAGCCTCCCCCTGAAAACACAGTGGTCCCGAGACTGGCCGAGCAACATGGACAGCAGCCACATCCACTACCGGATCCCCAGCCAAGAAACAGCCAAGAGGAAGCAAGCGGTAAACCATCTGCCCCCCCCACCCCCACTTTCCAACTTGTCTGTCCATCATCGGAAAGTAAAACATTGCATGAGCTTCAGGCGATGTGACGCAGACCTTGTTTTTGCCATCTAAACACACACATACAAATGGAAAAAAAAAAATCATTACGCACACATAAACTTCAAACTCATGTGGCTGTTTATGAGAAAGCAAAAGTTCACGACCCCTCGCATTGCATCATTGACCGACTCAATTCACGCCCATGGCCTCGGGAGCATTTTGCTTTCCCTCGTTCCCTCTGCAAAGCTTCACATCTGCTTGGCCATTTCAGAACGCTGCGGGCCTTTAAGCAAAGTTCACATTGCTTAAGCTTCAGGCGTCCTTTAACGTGTCACCCCCAACACCTGGTCTCTCCTTCCAACACCCTCACAGAGTAAAGCTGGCTGCTGTTGCAAGGAGTGCAAGACCTTTCCACCATTTTTCTTTAAAATCTCTCTTTTCACATAAATCAAATCCCTTTTAGCAAATAGCTTTGGGCAGCGGAACCAAACGTTCTACCTTGGCACCTCTGTAGTGGTAAATGAAAAAAGGTGATTAGAAGTAATCACATACTGCAGAGCTGCCAACCTCTTCAGGGCGGGGGCATTCATATGCTGCAAAATGTGAATCCCTTTCCTTGAAATAAATGTCTAAAAATCAGACCTTTCAGTGCATGGCATTACCACTGCACTTAGAGTCATTTTGACTCATGTCAAACCGTGAATGATACCAAATGCATGCGTCTGACGTCCGCTTTAAACTTTTTATTAAAGTTTCAGTGAATTATCAGATTCAAGTTTACGTCCCAAGTTTAGCACAGATCGTGGTTTATACAATATTTTTGTGTACAATTTATAAAAAGAAACTTACCAGTGAACTTTTTCTGTTTTATAACGGTACATAACTGTAACACTCGCATTATTTCTTTAATATTAATGTTTTAATGTTGTTTTTGTTTTAAAGGACACTCCGACTACACCTGCGATCCACGAGGAACCACTCAACGAGGCTTCAGTAAGTTACTGCTCCCTTTCTTTTCTGGTTTTAACCACAACTTTGGATATAATGTCGCAGACTGAGGATAATTGTTGAAAAACTTAACGTGTATTTAGGGGGGGATTAGAATCCTTGTTACATAGTCAATGTAAAAATAACCTCGTCACTGAAATGTCATTAAAAGCACTGTTTGAAAATCAGCATTTTAATGTAAATGGAAAAAATGAAAAGAAAGCATTAAGAGCTGCTATCATAAACCAAAAACTTTATGCATTTCTAAAGTTTAATGGTGTTTATTAAAGTTCAGTGGACAGGTCTGTAATTGGATTCTGATTTGTCTCCCAAGGAGAACCTCAACATCTTCATCTGTTATTTCCAGTTGTGTCTCCTGGTTGTAGTCAATGACACTGTCTACAGATTACACAACATATAGAACAGATAACAGGAAAATACATTCAGTTATGCACTGGGGGAAATATTACCGTAATTTCCGGACTATTGAGCGCACCTGAATATAATCCGTGCCTACTAAATTAAAAAATAATAATTTTGTACATATATAGGCCGCGCTTGTATATAAGCCGCAGTTGTCCACGTGAGATATTTGAGATATTTACACAGAAAGATTTTTTTAAAACTTTTAATTAAATATGTACCGACAACATACACAAATATGTACTTAAATGTTTTTTTCTAAACAGTGTCTGTAATACAACTAGTTAAAATAAATAAATAAATACAAAGTAAATAAATACAGTAGCCTACCAGGAAGTCATAGATCGCTATCTTCACTTTCCTCCTGCACAAGCTTGTGCTGTCCTGGTCACTGCACAATCTGTTCCAGAAGCACGGTCCGCACTGTCAGCTCATTTGCGCATGTGCTAAAATAAATACTTCCGGTTTGTACATTAGCTTAGTGAATCTTTTGGCAATCTTTCTTTATTGTTTCATTCAAACTTTATTTATTCAGGTTAATCCCATTGAGCCTCGGGACTCATTTACAAGAGAGACCTGAAGAAACCTTTCTTAGATGTTTGTTTCTTGTTGTTTGATGAGCCATTTTCTGCTGAATGTCAGTTTGTCATTGATGTCATCACAGATCCAACAAACTGGACCCTTTAACACCCCTCAGGATTCTCCATGTGATCTTTCAGGCAGCAATGTTCACCTCGAAGAGTTGCCGTTTTTATAACTAATCTAAAAGTGGCGCTTTCTTGATGATGGACTCATAAAAATAAACACAATAAGGGAGACTGGCCTTTAGTTGTTAAAAATAATCTAGGCCTGTTTTGTGCCTCAAACTGTTACATGTCTATTTTTGATCACCACTATGTAGCAATGATCTTAAATTTTGTTCAGTTTAACAGTTTTTTTATTCGTATGACTGTAGTTTAGAGGAATTTAAAAGTCTTAAATAATAACATTAAGATCATTAATATTACACAAAATGGGCAAAACTATGAAAAAAAGGAGTAGATTTCTTTCCAATACTGACTTGTCTGTGAACGCAGCACAAAAATGTGGACTTTTAAACATCCGTAAAGATTAAAAAAAAAAAATCATAAAAATAAATGTATGCATCATTAATCTTCCCTTCTGTAGAGGGAACCATGGGAGAGGCGTCTGGGCTCCGTATCCGAGGATGACCAGGACCATGAGATCCTGTACCTGAAGGAAACCCACCTGGGGATTGAGCGTAAATGTTCCAGCATCACAGTTAGCTCTACGTCCAGTCTAGAGGCTGAAGTGGACTTCACGGTCCTAACAGACCTGCAAACAGGCATGGAGGAGTTTTCCAGGGGGATGTCAGAGTTGGGAGAGAGGGATCTCTCGCCTGACAGGGGACTGTGCCTGAGCATCGACTTGCTGCAGCAGCATTGCCCCTCTGAACTGCCTTCTCCTCCTTTGGCACCAGCTCCGATCCCCAGAGGGGCCAGCAGCAGCCCCCCGGCTAAACTTGTCCAACCTGAAGAGGTCCGACCAGAGGTCAAACGGCCCGATGGGCAGGTAGTTCAAGTGTTTTAACTTGTTTGAAGTGTTTAAATGCTGCTGTAATTTAATTTTCTAAACACTGAATGACCAAAATTACAAAATTCTCATTATAGAAATGACTTTATTTCATTAAATCTTTATGGTAAATAAATTGGTTATGAATTTGTCTCAATACAACAAGAACTAATTATTTAAGCCTAAAACTAAAGTTTTTTTTTTCTTTCTTGTAAGCCTGTTGTTCCCAAAAAACCAAAGAGGTCGGTGCCGGTCTCATCGTCGGTGGACAGAGATCAGTCACACAAAGAACCCAGTCGTGTGTCTGCCGCTGCACCTCTGAGCAGAGAGGCCAGCGACGTCGTGCCCACACCTGCTGTCAGGAAAACAGACGTCAGAACAGAGACTCAGCCCAACGGGTCAGAGCTCACCACTACCATTGTGGAGTTCACAGATCAGGTTAGTTTGATAACTGTCCAGTTCTAAAGCAGAACTTTGAACAACAAGTCATGCTGGTCTGTCTGTTTCAGGATCATAGTACCACCGGCCTAAGTGAGCTTTCTTATTCTACAAGACAAAGCGTATCTCCAGTGAGTACCAACGCGAGCACTTTGATTTTAATCCAACCTGCAGTCTCTCTCCATGCCCGCCTCTCCAATGCTTTAATTCTCCTTACAAAGCCCACAGACATAAATGCATCAATGAACACCTTTACTGTTTAAATCCCTACACTTTGCAGGCTCATGCCAGGGTGTCGAAGGTGTTAAGAGAGGTGCTTCCTGAAAGAACGAATATTAATATATTTCAAAATTCTATTAAGAATCGAGATTCCTGTTCTAGAAGCTTTTTTTTATTCTTATCCCAGTTTTGTGTAAACACAAACAACAACAATCAGTGCATGCAGGGACACTTCCTATAGCTGTCATAGCTGAATAAAGAGCTAGCTTTAGAGAGGGTTGCACTTTTTTAACGGGTTAACCAGAGAACTGTTGCTTTTGCCAGAAATGAGAGAAATTAGCAACAAAGTCTGCAGAGAAGATGGTGGCAGGAGGAGGTGGAGGAGAGTTGAACATGTTTACTTTTACTGGCTAATGATTGGTCCTTCTCTGTGTTTATTCATTTAATGCTTCTAGCTATTCTGCTTTATCAGGTGCACAAGGGCGGTCTTGGAAGAGAGACGTCGGGCTCACCTATCCTCGTGACTGAAAATGTTACCTCAGCAACGACTCATGTCACAAAGGTAAAAAAAGCTTAAATAAAACTTGCAAAGCATGTGTTAACCGACTGCTTATCATGTGTTAACCGACTGCTTAACTTGTGTTAACCGACTGCTTAACTTGTGTGAAAGTGAGTTGTAATGAAGGCTGTTTTAAGAAAACCCACTGTGTGTTGCAGACGGTGAAAGGAGGATACTCAGAGACAAGAATCGAGAAGAGGATTATCATCACAGGAGATGATGATGTAGATCAGGAGCAGGTGACAAAGTGGCTATAAAAATGACAACATATACTGACATGTATAATCAGCATCCTATGCTGATAAGGACTCAGGAAATGTCTGAGCTTTGGGGAGTAGAAAAATGTACAGCAGATTAGTCAGACACACATAAAATAAAACAAAGCATCTCCCCAACCGTTTCATTGATATGCAGGGAAAGCAGGAGAATATTGAAGTAGTGTTGTCTAATCAGTGAAACTTCAAAACGTAAAGTTTTTTTTAGTTTTGTTGGGAAATTGTGTTTATTTAACCTGTTTGTAACATAATTTGCATTAAAGACTAGAGCTGAAAAGCTTCATGAAGCACCAAAGATTTAAGTTTTTTCTTTCACTGACAACAAAACTCACTCTGTCCTTGCAGGCTTTGGCCATTGCAATACAGGAAGCCAAGCAGCAGCATCCAGACATGCAGGTGACCAAGGCGGTCGTCATTAGGGAAACTGAATCATCTACTGAGGATCGACATGGCGCATCATAGGTACATAAGGCTTCTTGGTCTCTATGACATAGTATCTTTCCATTATTAAAAAAAACAAACAAACAAAAAAAAACAGCTGAGGTTCAGGGGTTGACTATCTAATTCTTCTTTGCAGTACCACTATACTAAGACAACAGTGCCCCCTCGTGGACCAGAAGTGTCAGTCCATTACTGGATTTTCCTCCCCTCCATCCCACCTGATAAAAGGACTGCTAATACCGAGCCTCCTGTACCATTTAATGGTGAAATGGACCTTCTTTTAAATTCTTAAATGTATTTTTTCAGGCACTTCTCCATTGTGATTATACATATTCAGTTGAATAAATCAAAGATCATTTTTTGTCATCCACCCAATATTAAAAGAATCAAAATTAAAACATTTTATTATATTAAATACATAATCAAGTTAAATTCCCTGCACAACCCTCAGTGCCATTATATTTATATCTGAAGGCCCTGAGATGACTGTTTTCAAAAAGTCAAAGATAATTAATCTAGATAGAACTTGTTCACATCGTGTATACTATAGCGCATAGAACGACATCTATCCCATGCAGAAAGTATCTTTGGGGAAATTTGGAACATGAGTGTCTAATTTACGTACTGATGTGTGGAGAAACACACCCTGTTGAATACATTTAGACTGTACAGAGGAGTTCCCAACATTCCCAGTCAATCAAACAGATTGATGAGGGTGTGCTGACTAGCAAAGATCATAATCTTTGAAGGTATTTATTCAAATTGCTTCCCCTCCGTCTGTCTCGGGTTTAACATTTTCTTTGTTCTGTGTTGCACCTTGATGTGTGGGTGGCGCGTATGCAACGATATGCATAAACTGTAGGTGACACGAGGAGCTGTTAGTTTAACTGTGCACCTGCTGGGATGCATTCATTCTAAACTTTGTCAGCATATTTTCAGAGGCTAAAAATGTTTCGGAATGAGCCCAGTTTGTCCTCCTCATTCTTGCCTTTAGATGTGCTTTCAGAATCCAGCAGGATGTAACGCCACTTCGCAATTTTCTGTAGTAAATGCATAGAGTAGGCTCACAAACCAGTTGCATCACTAAAAGTAGTCCTTGAGATGTTTGCATGATAATTTCTTGCATTATGGGATTGCAATAAAAGGACAAACGCTGAGTAAAGACCTTGATGTAAACAGCCTGACAGAACATGAAGATGTTTATAATTTGGCTTTAGGAACAAAACGAGGCTCTCTGAGAGGAAATAAATTAATCACTAGAGAATATTGTTAATGTCAAATCCAACGAGAGCCCCCTGATCTCTGTAATTACAAATTTTATAGTTATTGTAGTCCTTTTCTTTACAACAGTTCTTTATTATTTGCATCTTATTTTGAACCACTGGTGCTGTACAATATATATGAACATATCAGCTCACTTTAATTTCACTTTGCATTGAATGAACAATTAAAGGAGTCTGTTTTGTTGTTTTAACTAATGTTTTGTTTTCTAACGTTGTTAATTTAGTACCACTTTATTATTTTTCCAAATTACTTTGTTGATTATGATGTAATGCACCAGTTCTATTCCAACACATCCTGTAAAATACATTGTTAAAAAAACACTGTAGGACAAGCATCTCTGAAGTTTTAGCTGTGTACGATTTAGTAGATGAATGTTAGAAAAATGCCACAGATGTGTGATGTGCCAATTAAAATAGCAGTCAATTGTACAAACACTGGTTTTGTATGAAAATGTTTTTTTTTTTAGAACAAACCAATTTTAATTACGAAAGTGCCAGAAGGTCAAATGCATAAACTTGACATGACATGGGTTCCCTTTAATTAAACCATCATTAACATAAAAAACAAAACTAATTAACTTATATTTTATATTAAAAACAATTTATGCAGCATAAATAAATTCATTTGATTGATTGAGAACAGTGGTATAAACAGTCATGTCAGGTTTATGAAGATACCGCTGAGGTACTTTTGCCTTTCAGACACTGAAATTCACAATGTTCACGTGCGTAGTGTAACTTCTGTTGTGTTCAATGCGTTCCAAACTTTTTAAAGTGATTGTTAAACATGGATATGAGTGTCAAACTGAACAACTGAATGAAAAAAAAAAGAAATGCAGCCTAGCATACCTGTGTGCGGTTCATGTGACGCAGTTTGGTGGATTGTGAAGTAGCGAAAGGCCGTGGGCACGATGTACACTAGGGGGCATTGGCTACCTATAAGAAGCAAGCTTTGCATCATCAACAAGCATACCCAGCTGAAATCCTTCTCACCTCCTCATCAAGTCTAAAAGTTATCCAAATCTTCCTCGGATCAACCTGTAAGGACAGAGCAACCATCCCATGTAAGGATGGAAGTTGGACAACCAGACTACGTTTGTGGTTGATTCATGAATCTCTGCTTCCACTTCATCCCTCTTTCTCTGCTGCTTCCATTGCTTGATGCTGTGTCTTTGCTGTACATTGTAATTAAACTCCTTTGAAAAAATAAATAAAGATAAGGACAAAAAAAAAGGGAATTATTGTTTGGGATGTGCACCATGTTTGTATTTGTATTTGCATTTTACATTGTTAAAAAAGAAGGATCCTGTAGTTTTTAATAATCTTGAACAAAGTTGAGATTTTAGGTTTATTTTGATGATCGTTTCTATCAAATTGGATTGTGTAATAGGGCTGAGGGTTTCTTATTTCTGTTATATTATTCATAATAAGGCTTTTTGGGACAGTCAACCTGATAGCCAATCACAACAACTTTTTTCAACATGACTAACTCACTTTGGAGGTAAATTTATGGATTGCGATTATGTAGCAGAAAAATTATATACGAAAACAATTCTCCATTAACATGGCTTTGTACGTTCTATTAAAAAAAGTAAACTGGACCATTTCTTTAAATACATTTGTTAGAAGTAGTTAGAAGATCCTGGAGGATCACGCCATCTTAGAGCTTTTCCAATCTGGCTTTAAACCTCTCCACAGCACTGAAACTGCCCTGCTGAAGGTCTTTAACGACATCTTCAGATTCACAGATACCGGTGATTCTGTGCTGCTTGTCCTGTTGGACCTCACAGCCGCCTTTGACACCATCGACCATGAGATCCTCATTGCTAGGTTGGAGCAGTGGGTGGGCGTCACAGGATCAGCCCTCAATTGGTTCAGATCTTACCTCACTGACAGATCCTTTTGTGTCTCCATCAAGGATTTTAGTTCCGCAGAGGCAGAGCTTAAATGGGGGGTTCCGCAGGGGTCCATACTGGGTCCCCTCCTATTCTCTTTATAACTGCTGCCGCTTGGTGCTATTTTCCAGAAACACAACATGTCCTTCCACTTCTATGCCGATGACTGTCAAATTTACTTCCCCCTAAGACACAATGGTACATGCTCTATTCAACCTCTGCTCGACTGCCTGGCTGACATCAGGGACTGGATGGCTTTAAATTTCTTAAGTTTCAATGAAAAGAAGTCTGAAGTCATGTTGTTCCCTCCCAACGACACGATCACAAACCACTGCATCGACCTTTCCGCTCTAACCCTGTCAGAAAAACAAAGAGTCACTAATCTGGGCGTGATAATGGACCCTTCCCTGAAACTTAACAATCATGTAAACATGATTGTTAAATCATGTTTCTTCCAACTGAGGCAGCTGTCTAAACTGAAGCCCATATTGTCCAAAAAGAATCTGGAGACAGTAATACATGCATTCATTACATCTAGGCTTGATTACTGCAATTTGCTCCTGTTTGGTATCAGTCAGACCTCCATTGCACGACTGCAACTGGTCCAGAATGCAGCAGCCCGATTTTTAACCAGTACAGGTAAAAGAGAGCACATTACACCAGTTTTGGCCTCACTGCACTGGTTACTGGTTCACTTTCAAATCCAGTTCAAAATACTCATGTATGTCTACAAATCACTGAACAGTGTCGCCCCCCCCATCTCTCTGATTTGCTACAACCGTATGTCCCACCACGCTCCCTGAGGTCAGCGGACCAGTTGCTCCTCACAGTTCCAGGAACTCGTCTTAAGCACAGAGGTGACAGGGCCTTCTCTGTAGCAGGACCAAGACTCTGGAACAAGTTACCTCTGCTTGTCAGACAGGCCCCCTCCCTCTCGGTTTTCAAGTCCCGTTTAAAAACTCACTACTATTCAATAGCTTTCAACACCAGATGATCTGTGTTTTGATCCTGTACGCTCTACACTGGTTTATCGTCATTATCTGCATCGTTTTTTGTCTATATTCTGATTTACCTCATTTTGTATTTTGCTTGGTGTGTTACATGTTGTTTTGTCTGTACAGCACTTTGGTTGGCCTTGTAGCTGTTTTAAGTGTTTTATAAATAAAGTGGTATGGTATGGTAGAAGTATAAAATGATGCATTCAAAAATTGCATGGCCAGAGACGAAGCAGCTCTTTGATAGAGAGTAGATATATTTTTGGTCCACTTGCTGCAGAGAGAACAGACATGGTTAAAAACAGCATTATCTTTATTAAAAGCAGGTTGTTCCATTCAAATAACCTCAAGGTACACACAGGTACTCCAGTTTCATGCCAAACAGTGGCTGACAAATACTGACCCTACTTTACAGTCATGTGTTGGAGTAAAGTCAGTTGCAGTTTTTGTTGCCAGTCGATGTGCTCATCAGGATGGAAACAGGAGAAAGACCTTTTTGTTTTTGAACCCAAAACTTCCAAAACAGATGATTTAGAAATTGATGACAGTGAAAGAGCTAAAGTACAGTCGGGATCAACAACAACAACAAAAAAGCAAATTAAAATAAATCAAATTTGTACTGAACAATTACAACATGAAATATTCTAAGACTTAAGGCTCATTTGGGACCTGAGGTTTTCATACGTTTCTTGGTTACAAACAATGGATGGGGGAGCAAGACACTATCAACACAAGTCAGATGTTTTCTATGGACGCCTCACAGGCAGCTGTTTTTGCTCCTGATGCAGCAGGTAAAACCAAACCTCGTCAGACACACTTTGGTTCCAGTGATATGGCAACACGTAATGTGATTAAAATCCAGGGAAAATCTGAAACGTCTGGTTTGTCATTTGTTCCTTTAAACAGGGTTTTCCTTCTTGGACAGTGAAAGATGTTCCCCCCAAAAAACTCCAGGTTTAAATGTCTTCACGTCCACAAACCGGTTGGTCATATAGGTCTGTGCCACTCAGTTATTTTTAATTCAAATCTTAAAAAAGTTGAGTGGTGCATATATTACATATCATTTGTAAAGAATCCACGTGGTTCCACTGAAAGTCAAATACATAATGCATCCTCCAAGGCGAAAAGCGAATGAGGATATCCACTAGTTGGAAACGAGACGAGAAAAAAATAATCTTCAAAGAGACTGGAGTCATTCAGGTCAAGGCGTTCTTTCAGTTTCATAAAAACAAACTCTGAAAGAGCCAGTTCCTTTCAGCAACCACTTTAGAACTGCGACAGAAAAGAATCTTCCTCACAAAAGGATCTTTGTAGCGAGAAGAGGAAGGACTCAGCAGGATAGAAAAGGGAGCAGGAGGAAATGCGGCTGTTGGCCTTGTGTTGTCTCTGACCTGCTGTTTTTTGTTTTTCCTTCACAGAGTAAGACGCTGTAGTGCCTGGGCGTTTGTCATAGCACCATTCTGGTTGTGAGGAGTTGCGCTGCAAAGATGACAAGTTGAAATGGCAACAGCTCCGGGGCTGCTCCCACGGCTACGGAGCCTGAAATACAGAATTAAAACAGAATGCATCAGGTTAGTGCACGTGTTTTTGTAACGTTTGTTCTGTTTCTTTGACTGTAAATTAATTAACGTGATGGGTTACCAACATAACTCACAGTGTACAAACAGAACACCTAATTAAAACGTTTCGTTCATTGAAGCGCTTTATGGTGTGAGTGCACATTAGTGTCAATAGATGGCAGTAACACAACGAGCTTCAAAAAGCTGGAGAAGTGTAGCAAGCAGCAACTGATGGACCACAGATTAGAAGGAAACGCATGCTCTGCAACAAACAACTGCTGGTATAGTGTGTGTGCATGTTAGAGAATATGATTTTATTTGTGTTTCAGTTCATGGCTAAAATACTACATTAAACAGCTACCATGAAAGAATAAATGACATTTTGAAGACTTTAAAAAAAAAAAGTTTAATAGGAAATGACTGAGTAATGAGCCTGTGATCATGTATCTGTCTGGTGCTTGTGGACTGTGTTGTGTTTCCAGGCTTTTTTTTTACACTGCTGTGTCTTATTACATGCTTACCCTGAAAAATTTGTGGAAAAATAAAACCTAAAAGTTAAATAAGCACAAATCGGCTGATCAGCAGATACTTTTGTGCAAACAAAGACTATTGTTGTTGTGTTTTACTGAAGTTTCACAAACAGAGGTAGGCATGATTTTCTTGTTTTATTTGTCACTTTTGTCCCACCTTCAATCTTGGGGATTGTAATCTGGGGGCTGCTGCTGCCTTCCCCTCCCTCACTGAAGGGTTTAATCTGGATCACGTAGTCTTGGTTGACTGGCAGCGACAACTCCAAGGAGGTGTTGTTGGTCTCCACCACACTAGGCCGGCTGTGTTTGTCCTGGCTGTACATCACCTGCAGGAAACAAGTGTTTGGAAGTGTTTTATGGCATCAAACCCAGTGAACCATACGAGAGGAATCCATGAAAACTATAAAACAATATCTGCTTCAAGATATGAAGCATGCTATCTCAATAAATAACAGGATCAAATCTTCTGCTGTGGATATCTGAAATAAATTAACACAGCTGACAGGACCGTGATAAGTGAAATAAAAATAAAGGAGATCCTTCAGCTTTCGTCGTCAAAAGGACTAAAGCTATTGCAGAAGGAACAGCATGCAAAACCTGAAAAAGGGGCAGATCCTGTAGGCGTAGCACGTACGGATTATTTGACTGAAAAGTAGAAGTTGGCTTGTGATAAATGGAGACAGATTATGCATTTGTTCACCTGCTGGGGAGTTTTCTCATAAAGAGTATACTTTTTTTAAAGGCTTTAATAAATGAGTTAGAGAAATTAATTAATTTCAAATTAATCCTGAGTTCAATGACCAGTGATTTTATTTAGATTGTGTTTTTACAAATACTTTAAACACACATTTTAATAAACTGACATGCAGTTGGTGCATGAGCATCTAACATTTCATAGAAGAAACTCAAAATGATTTATTTTAGTAACAATATTACAGTTACAGTTTCCTGAGGAAAATTTGAACGAGCTCTCAGTCAGACTGTACATTTATAAAGTTACAAAAGAGAATATTCAAGATGGTAAATAGCCTGGACCACGAGGGACCCAGCTGAGGAAGTTTCATCCTGGACCTGAACAGGTAGTGTGGACTTAAAAAAGCAACTACATTAATTCACTTTAAAGATAATAAATATATATATTTTTTAGATATAAATTTGAAATATTTTATGCCAACAAATTTAACTTTTTACATTTCTACAAAATAAATCCAAGTGTTGTTTTTTTCCAGTTTTACCCTGTCAAGGTCCTATTTAAACACAACCTTACAAGATAAACCATTGTCTGCTGGGTTATTTCCATATTTTTAATGTATTGTGTACTTTAGAATGTTTTTAATTGGGTTAGCAAAGCTTTTTCAAGTTTTTAAAGTATTATGACATTTTTTAACTTGTGTTGTTTTTTAAGAGCCAGATGTCAAAGACAAATCTCCATTTCATTGAATGTTATGGACAATAAAGAATTTAATTGAATTAAATTTAATTGAATAAATCTGTTTGTAATGTTTTGTAAAGTGCCAGTATAAATATGTTGAGACTGCTTTGTAAAGGCAGAGGTTTGTTTGGGACAAAAACACAAAGCAACAGCTGAAATATAATGAATCTTTAATGTGCATCGTCTGAGTAACTGCTGCCTTTAAACCGATGTGCACATGGCTTGATATCTAATGTCAGTGCATTTATCAGACATAACAGAAAAGTGTGCAGAGTAACCTCAATGAGCGCAGAATGAAGGTATTTGTAGTTGTAGAACAATGCAGATATTTCTTGCCCTGGACACTGCAGCTTAAGACCGCAGCGCTGCAGCCCCAGAAATTTACAATAAGAATAGACATAATATATTGTCATAATTAGTAAATGATAAAAACTAAAGCACTTTTTTGCATAAAACAAATTTCACATGTGTCAGTGTGTGTGAATATTAGTCACACGTTTTCTGGTTTTGCACATTATTGTCCAGTGCATACCTGCATTGTCTTTCCACCTCAGGTCTTTGTCCTGCCCTGCTCTGGACACCTGCCAACGGTCTCTTCCTGCTGATCTGCCCTTTCTAACCCCAACCCAGGTCTCGTTAGTCCTCTGACAATTTGTCTTTGTTTCCTTCCTAAGCTAACCTTAAAAAAATGCTCTTAGCATCTTCCAAATGTTTCACAACTGTTACATTCTATGGGTTTGCAGGGCTGATATTTCATCTACGGCCTTTTGCACTCTCAGATAAGAGCGTCCCTCTTGAAATGCCAAATGGAGCTTGCTCAGTTTCTGTGTATTTTAAGGCTCTGTTGTGTCAGAATATGTTACATTACATTTTGATGGTATTAATGGACTTTTTTTCAAGTCACCTAAAGGTTCCTCTAACGTCTGGTAAAGTTCTGTCTGAAAAGGATGATGCAAGAAGTGACACAGGACTACAAAATAACATTTTATATTGTTTTTTTTAAAGGTTATTGTTATTTGATTAAACATTCTGCACACACTCAAGAACATAGATCCAAAAAGAAAGTCCTGTTTTACAGTAAAGGTCTCCTTTAACTCTCACTCCTTCATATATAAAGAACTACTTTTCGGATAATCAGAAGACTTGTTGGTAATTGTAGTGAACCTGATCTGAACCTGATCTGACCTCAAATCTTGATCAGATGAGCAGTGACTGTTATTTCATTGATCTGTATCCAGAAATACAGTTTGAGCCATCTGGTGACTTTCTTTCTTGAATTAATCAAGCAGAAAAGACAATTCTCTATGATCATTACTATTTTACAAGTGTTTGATAATCAAATTGTGTTAGTTTACTCAATGTTTACAGGTTGAAGAAAACTACTCATTTTTATTTTTCATAAACAGTAAGTAATGATTTTTATTCCTCATTCAAAGAAGAAATCAGGTTAATATGCATTTCTTGATTTTTCTGTCTGCAATGTAAGTATGTTAAAGGTCGGTTCTCGGTCAACTAAAATGTTTACTGAGAAAAATGTCATGTTTAAACTTTTTCAGAAGATAATAAGAGTGAGACTCCACGAAGTCTGAAGTCCTACAATAATCTTTCTGTTTGTCACTGAAACAATCCTTGACTTTTAATAACATCTTACATCATACACCACACCTCTATTCCTGGTCCATCGACCAATCAAAAAGCTCTCAAATGACCCGGAAGTCGACCCATTTAAAATGTGGCAACTTCCCAGTTCATGCAGAGGCTGAGAGGCTGAGAGGCTGAGAGGCTGAGACGCTGAGTTGCTGGAGTTTGTTGGTTGCTGTGTTGCTGCACTCAGAAATGAGTTCAACTAGAGAGTGCACAGAGTGATGGAGTCAGAGTTCTTGGGTGCAAACGCGTTCAGGATGATCCAGAGACGTTTTGGGATTATAACTTCTGTTTGAACAACCTCGTACGACTCTCTAAGGGTTTGGCAGTTCTCACGGAGACGCTGAAAGAGTCAGAAAGGAACCTACGCCGACGCTGATTTCATCGTCAACCAGGTAGAAGGTTCTATTTTCGACTAAGTGTACCGGAGGCCAGCTGAGATCTGATGGAGCGTGCACGTTTTCTGGTCAAACAGATTAATTCCCTCACAAATCTCTCTGTAAGATAAATCTCCATTTCCATCTTAAACTCTGCTTTCTCCTAAAATCAGTACAGATATTTAGAAATATCTGAAGCTAAGTCCTCAATCACCGCCGCGTGATTGAAGTTCATTTTCTGTGAAACTTGTCTGTTATTATTTTCATATTTTGCCAAAATTAATGTAAATGTTCGATGTTAAACTTTGATTCTGAAAATAAATGACCGCATTCATTTGATGGGTCAAACATAAATAACGTCTCTCGTTACATTTCTGTTAAAATTCAATGCACGACATTTACACAGTCAGAAAGATGAGGAACTCGTGAAAAGTATGAATATATTTCCCTATATGTCATACTACATAATATTTCCAGATTCATTCAACCTTTATTTATACAAGTGAATCCTACTGAGCCTTGGGGACTCATTTACAAAAGAGACCTGATACAGTTGAGATAATAATATTAAAAATAATAATGTGTTATGTATTGTCACCATTGTATGTTCCCATACAACCCATTCACCTCCATGATGGCTTCATTAGTACTGCAGCCTTTTAAATGCGATCATTTACAAACATATGTCTTTATTATTTTTACTGATGTAATATTTTTTATTACCCATATAATTTAATTTTATCAACTTGTGTTTTTCTTTCCTTCTTTCTTTTTTTAATAGGGAGAGTGGTGGCACAGAGGTTAGAGAAGATGGGCCTGTGATCGAAGGCCATCGGTTTGACTCCCTGGACTGATAACATCAAAAATATAGGTGGGAAAGGTGGAACACCCACACCTGCCTCCACCCTCATTTGCCCCACTCTGGGCCCTTAAGCAAGGCCCTTAACCAGTGGTGTAGTCTACGCGATACGCAGGTATACAAAATATACCCACTAGAAAAGCTTAAGAAATTCTAACCAGTTAAAAGTGCTCAGTGATACATGACATATCATTCGGCACATGTCATCGCTACGTTAAATGGCAGTTAAATGCTTCCGTAACAATCTATCGGTATGTAGCGCTTGTTTATTACAATCAATTATCCTGTGAATTATTGTGTAATTCTGTACTTACTGCTATACTTGAATATGTTTTGCTTTGATGCTGTTTTATAAATTCTATAACATGTTTTTAATACAAACCCAACTGTTATACAAGGTTTGTTGTACATTTAGTCAAATATAAGCATCAGAGAAATTTAGAAATGTTCAATATGCTTAAAAATCTAATAAATAAATTAGCAATTAACGATTACATTGTACTAACCAGTGTACTTTGGTTTTTAAGCACAGTATACCCAGTACAAAAATGTAGGCTACACCACTGCCCTTACCCCCCACCATCTGCTCCCACCGGGCACCCTAGATGGCAGCTCTCTGCTCCACACAGAGGGCTGTGGTAGCTCGGTGGTCTGTGATTATGTCAGGAAGGGCATCTGGTGTAAAAACCATTGCCAAGTCTTCGTGCGAGTTAGTTCACTGTGGCGACCCCTGAGGAAGGGAGCAGCCAAAAGAAGAAGAAAGAAAAAAAAAAGTTTTTTTAATATTTAATGTTTATTTTTATTATTACAGTGTTTGGTTTCTATCTTGGTTTGCTCTGTAACAAACTTTAGGTTTTACTTTTGTTGGGAGAAGTTTTATAAATAAAAAAGTTGAGTGGAGTTAAGTAAAAATCCACAGCGGGCATGTAGACTTGTTTCTGTTGTTAGCGGGGCATGCAGCACCACAGTGTGTGTTTATAACGAAAATATAAGTGGAATAAAAACTGCCCCCCCCCCCCAAAAGCAACTCCCCCTCCCACAGTGCCAGTGTGAGAAGTGTAAAAGTCAACAGTCTTCACCTTGTATCCCGTGACTTCTGACTCGTTCTCCAGGGCGTGCACCTGGTCCCACCGCAGAATGACCTTGGAGTCAGAAGTGTTCCACCTTATTTTATCTGGGGCTTGGCTGGGTGCTGGAGGAGAACAACAGGATGAAAATAAGTGGAGGCAGAAAAACAACAGGAGGTCGAGTCAATAAACAGTCCAGAACCAACTCAGCATGAAGGAGATTTCTCATTATCAGTTCATCATCCCACTGTCAGTAGTGAGCAGTGACTTCACAAACATGTGCGTGTGGGAAGAAGATCAGTCTTATCTGTAATTGCTGTGGGTGGATAGTACGATCTTGGAACAGACAAAAAGGAATGTGGCTCATTGTATAATTATTTTTAACATTTTATAATACAGTATGCACATTACAAAATGCCACAAATTTTATGAAAATGTTAATTAGTTGGGCACACAAAGTTCAGTGGAGCAGGTTCATGATTTGTTTGACTCTTTTAAAAACATGTGAAGCCATAAAGTAATGTGTCTAAAGCACTCAAATCATAAAACAGATGAATCCCACATTTTTTTTTCCAGGCTGATCTTCATGTCATAGCACCCAAGGAGCAGTAAATAAATAGTGGCTACAAAATCTAAAACTGACCATGTGACAACACATTTAAATATATTCCTTTGAAAAGATTTTGAAGTAAATCAAATAGTTTTGTGTGTGTTTCTGCTTTATGCAACAGCCTAGCAATGTTAAAATAATGTCTGACACAGCATGCCACTTGTTTTTGTGATCACTGCCTACTACCATGAGTATAATATATACAGACTGAGCTGTGCCCCTAAAGCTATGGTACCATGAATAAAAAGTGAGAATGATAGGGAGCAAAACAGTACACAAAAAGGACATTATGATTTGCCAGCAGCATCTTGAAAGTAGATTCCTTACGTGGCTTCTTGGTTGTGACATTGACTACGCTGCTCTGTGGACCCACTCCAGCACTGTTATAGGCCCTTAGGGACATGCAGTAGGTACTGCTGCCCTCCAGATCCCTGATGAGTACTGTTGTTTTATTCCCCACTGTTCTGATCACACTGGCTGCATCCTGCTTTACTTTCTCCCCCCAGTACTGCAGCTAAACACAAAACATAATCAGGTTACATTTCACCAATTAGCAACTGATATTTAGTTATTTATTCAAAACGTGGCTGGTTTTAAAGTGAACCTTAAATGGGATACATCATAATATAATTCATTTTACATAATCAATATTATCCACAAGCCAATAATATAAAAGGTTAACATGTCGAGTTTTAATAATATACAGCCACTTAGTGTTGGCACTGTTCATTGTGTTTGTACATGTCGGATTGTGTGGGCATCTGCTGGTTTGACCTCATAGCCCAGGATATGTCTGCGGCTGTTGCTCCAAACCAGCGGCTTCCAGGTGACCTCCACCTCGGATGCTGATACGCTCCTCGCCCTCAGCCTCCCCGGAGGTCTACTGGGCTCTGAAGCAGACAGGATCATCAGAAATACATGGATTCACTACACCCACATCCTCTGCATGACTTGTTAAAGATATCATAGTTTCATGGAATCTATCTACATATCTGTATAAACAAATCTACCACTAGAGAGAGAGCTTTTCCAGTTGTGCCATAGAGATTCCAACACCAACAGTGGTGTACATGGTTCAAATTGTATTTTGCATGTTACTTTATTGTTTCTTCGGCTTAGACAGATTAACCAGTACACATGAGGCCTTAACTTCTCCTATAAAATGTCAGGGGATTTTATGTAAAGGTCGTGGATGTTATCACTTACTAATGTTAAATTAATGTAGAACCATGTGTGTGAGGTCAACGGAGTCTTTTTGTCTACTTAGAGAGGAGCCTGCATAACTGATGACTGATAACTTCTGACGCCTTCAGAAACTGTGAGCTGTGAAGCAGAGGTCGTCTTTACCTCGCCTCTGTCTGATAACGGGTATTTAAGCTTTCCCTAACTCCTAGTCCGTGGGCAGACCTTGTGACCGGAGCTTCATGCAACATCTGTGTAAGCCTGTTTTCAATGCTGCCTCCTTGCAAGTAAAACTGGGTTGAACAATCTCCTTAAATTCTCAGTGTTTGGCTTATTTGATTAATGAGATGATGAGAGGGTAATTAATGTAGCCAACATAAAATTGCCACAACTGGTAACAAAGGATGAAAAAGGCTTTGTGAAAATGCATTTTCATCATCTGCAAATTTGGAATCAGATTAAATTGATCAGAGTCTACAACCCATTGAGTTATCGCTGGATGTCCCCACTGTTTCATACATATTTCACACACCTTCTTCTGCTGAATAGATGGTAGTCACTGGACTGAAAGGTCCTTCACCCTTGTTGTTGTATACCCCGACTTTGACTTGGTAAGGGGAGAAGGGTGGAATACTTTCATTCTTGAACACGTATCTAGAAGCTTCCGGGGATGTGACAGCAGCTTGCATCCAGCCCTGTGTCCCGAGTGGGCGGAAAGCAACCACATATCCAAAGCCCGGACCACTCTGTAGCTCCTCAGGGACAGGCTAAGGAGATACGATATGACTCAGACTGATGACTCAAGAGAAGCAAGCTTCACTGATCTCATTGATATTAATATTTTTACAGAAATGCAGCCCTGCACAGATTAAGGCAGTAAAAAAAAAAAAAACTGAAGTCATTACCATATAAGCAAACACCGCATGGGTTTTTCACCCTGAGTGGGTCAGTGATTTTATACTTCTGAGAAAAGAAACAGCTATCCAAACAGACTATTTATTCCTTATGTGACCAAGATAGAAAATAATACTGCAGCAACATTCATTTCCAAGTCAAAAATGACTGATTATATCAGCCACAACATACAGCAAACAGGCATATACTGGACATGTGAAAATTGTGTTTTTTAATGACGTCAGCTGTCATGTACGCATTTTAACAGGATTCAGAAATACTTCAGCTAACAGCTAAAACACAGACTTATTGAACAGAAACAAATAATAACATTTTTGTTTGTTTACACTTACTTCCCACGTGATGACGAGCTCTGAACGTCCCCCACCACCACCATTCACTCTCGCTGGAGTCACCCTGGGAACTAAAACATCAACCGTGTTTATATGCGGCTATCAAGTTCTAACTTCAAACATGAAGTGTTTAGTTTCTCAACGCCACTGAAAAAAGAGATGCTATTAAATGTTCATCAGAATTTTCTTGAAACTGACTAAAAACACGATTTGTTGAAAACAAATGAAAAAGAAAAACAAAAGCAGAGCTCAGATTCTTAAAGTTTTTGCTCAAGTTGAAAAAAAGACTATAAAGATTTTTTTTTTTTATCCGCAGGAAGATTTCCAAAGATATTGACTAAGAGATAATAACCTTCTTTGAGAAGTAGACTTCCTCCACAATAAAACTTGAGCATGTGGCATATCAGCAAACATAACACACAACTAAACTACAGTTGATATCTTTATTGTGTGTTTTCAGTGTTATTTTATTTGTTTTCTGCTCTTGTCCTGTGATAAATTAGGTTTCACCACCTCTCCCATAACCCTAAACAAAATAAATCCATCCATTTTAGTCACGTAACATTCATCAAAACTCATGTTTTGCTCTGTTTTCTGATTGACTGAGTTTGTAGCCACATAGCATGATGGTCTTGAATTACTAACAATAATTTTTATGGCAAATTTCTTTATTTTTAGTCAGCTACATCAGCTATTTTGCAATCTCTTAATATTACAATGCAGTACCGCTGTTTTGGAGCCATTGTAGTAGACTAGGCCCATGTCAAAAACTAAGTCTAAGGTCAAAACTCTTGACCTTTAGAACCTTGTGGGACAGGAACTGTCATTTCATTCATTTGAACTCAGAAATACAGGTTCACCCATCCTGAGACTTTCTTTCTTGAAGATTCAAGTGAAAAGAACACTCTCTTTTTATTATCATTACTATTTTACAAATGTTGATAATCAAAGTGTCTTAGTTCAAACCATTTTAGATGTGGCAGTGAACTAATCAATTTTATTAACTGTGTAATGATTTTTATTCTCATGTCAAAGCTGTAACAGAATAATTATGCATTTTCTGATTTCTGCCTTTGAGTGAGCAAGTGTGCGTTTCCAAGGTTGGAGTCAAACGAAAAACAAGTTGTTGAACGAACTGTCATGTTTTTAGAATCCTCTCAGACGTAAATAGAGAAGTTTTGGCACCTTTTCTGAAACGCGCCAAAACAAAACTCTCTCTGTCTGTGAGAACATTTCTGATCTGTTTCATAACAATTCTCGCTGTCTCTAACCTCTTACGTCACAAAACACACCCCGTCTGGTCGTTTCTGACCAATGAACAAATCCCAAAAGTGAACCGGGAAACAGCTCTTTAAAATGTCAGTACGTCCTGGTCTACTCGGTCTTGGTTCTGTTGAAGTTCTGATGGAGTGCTGTTGGAGTTCTGCTGGATACACAGTCCAACCAGTTCTGTGAGAGACGGGATGATCCTGACAACAGAGCTCTTCCGAGTTCCATGGGATTATAACATTTTCCACTGAGGTGAATATGTGTCGAACAGAGCCTCGCCATTACTTCGGACGAGTAACAGCATCCTACTGAGACGCTGAAAGGGTGCGTTAAACGGAATCTCACCTGAGACATCTCCAGGTAAAGGAGCCGATTTCATCACCTAAGTGTACTGTAAGGAAAAGCTGAAGAAAGCCGGAGAGTGTCGATTCTGGTGAACACATTTCACCCCTCACACACCATCTTACTCCCTCTAAACTTCTTTCCATCTTTAAACTTTTCTATCAAGTAGAAATTCTTCCAGATATTTTAGAAATGTCTGTGTAAAATGCTCACCCACATTCATGTGGGTAAAAGATCATAATTGTACAGTTTTCATAAATGTCTGTGGTGAAGCAACGGAAAAATCATGGCCGTATGATTTTTCCTGATTGATTGCTTATGTTGTTATTTTCATAATTTGCCAAATTAATGTAAATGTTTGATGTTAAATTTTGATTCTGTAAATAAATGACCGCATTCATTTTGATGGGTCAAATATAAATGACGTCTCACGTTTGCATTTCCTTAAATTCAATGCACGTTTTATTCAGTCCAGAAAAATGAGGAATCCGTGTTAAATGATGAATATATCTGAGCATCTGTTCATCTACACCATTACAAAACATAACATATTTATATTTTTTATACGTGATATGCAATCCCTCCAGCAAAATCTGGGCATGACCTGAGGTCTCCTACTACTGGGATGCATCTAGAAATCTTCTGGAGGGAGGCATCATAATTAAATCACATCAGCTGACATATATATATATTAGGGTCACTTGTTTACGCATATGGATGGGCTTGGTGAAATGGAATGATTGACAACAAAAGTTTTGTTAATTTGTCAAAATGCTTAATTTTGGGGAATAGTGATTTCGTTAGGCATCTAATGCTCAAACTGGTACTGTCTAACCATCATGAGCATGAAGTAGAAACCCTTTATGTCCATGACTCAGCAGCAGAGATAATTTAAGGAACATACGCATTTCCTTGGTGCGGGCCTTCTTAGAGGGTTTGCTGGGCTCTCCTGTTCCTATACCGTTGGTTGCCAGAACTCTGAACTCATACTCCACCCAGGGGCTCAGGTCAACAACAGAAGCAGAGAGATGTTTCCCCCTTAGAAATTCAGGAACTAAGAGAAATTACACAGATATGTTTTTTATTTACAACTTTACAAGATCCAATAAATGTGATGTGTTATTCAGTTTCTTCTCATTATTGCTGACTGAAACGGATAACAGCCACACCCCATCACCCCTTTTTGATCTATTTATTTCCTTCTCACAGCCCACACAGTGTTTTGCAGATAAATCCAGCCTACCAGTGGTAACAGCTTGCCATCCGAGAGAAAAGGGTGTTCTGGCCTGGATGGTGTAGCTGAGGATGGGGCTATGGTTGTCCAACCCAGGTCTCCAGGATAAAGAGGCTGTGGTCTCTGTGATCTCAGTCACCTGACAGTCCAAAGGTGGACCTGGAGGACCTGGAGGGATTTTAATCTACAGTTCAGTTGCATAGAATGATATACTGTAAACACTAATGAAGGCAAGAGGAAGTAGAATGGAGACAGAGTGGGTGGGCAGCACTTAAGAGCCGATGTAATAGATGGATTAAGGAGACAAAGAATTAGAAGAGTAGCTCCTAATCCTTCAGCGTCCCTGTGGTACTAAAGTAAAATCAGTTCAAACTGTATCATATTAGAGACAGTTGATCAAAAATGAAGATGATGACAAAGATTGATTATGAATTAATAATAATAGTCTTATCGTTTTTTTATACTCTTTAAAAGAAAAGTTCCAAATCTTTTGCAGAAAAAAAATCCTGATGTTACAAGACTTAAACATTCTGATTTCCTCATTTATTTTCAGTCCATTTTTGACATTTAAGTGAATCTACAGTACAAATGGAAAAATAAACAAAGTTATCTGTATTATGAATATATTTTAATGAAATAGTTTGTCTTCTCCAGAAAGGCTTGAGAATAATGATTTAAAAATGTGTATTTAAAGAAAACAAAAAAAAAAACGTGTTCACTCATGGACTGGCCTAACATAATGAATGTCTGTGCAACAAATGGCAAAAATGGTTTTCATATATTACATGTTTAAACTTAAGTGTTTTAATTTGTATATATTAAAAAAGCCGACTGCTTGTTTGATTAACCTAATTTTTACATTTGGACTTTTTATTCTATATAATAAAACGTAATTTTCTTCTTCTTCTTTTGGCTTTTCCCTCTTCAGGGGTCGCCACAGCAAGTCATCCTCATCCATCTCACTCTGTCCTCTGCATCCTCTGTCCTCACTCCAACTACCTTCATGTCCTCTCTAACTGTATCCAGATATCATCTCTTTGTCTTTTTCCTGGCAGCTGCATGTCTAACACCCTTATACCAGTATACCCACTGTCCCTCCTCTGGACATGTCCAAACATCTCAGTCTGGCCTCTAACTTTATCTCCCAATTGTATATAATAAATAAAATATAATTAAAAATATAAATATATTTTATAAAAAATAATTCTATATAATTCTATATAATAAAATATAATAATAATAATAAAATAGTCTAGAAATTCAAAAGCTTTTCCGCATTTTTAATTTTTAACCCCTAGTGTTCCAGGCTTGAATACTAAAAGCAAATTCCAAGGCTTTGTGAGAACCATGTCAACTATACAAAGAGCTTCAGTTTGTTTGATTATTTATTTCTTAACAGTGTGAGAATACATTTTACATTATTTTGATTAGACTCGTGCAATCAGCTGCAAGTGATTACATTTGTTTTTAATCATGAACTTTTTTTCTTGGGTTTTTGTTCATCCCAGCTGATTAAGTGCATATAGATGTTAAATATCAGCACCATTTGTTTCCCACATAAAAGACACTCCCTTACCTCTGACAACTACATCTGTGGCGATGGACACACTGTCCACCTTGGTCTGAACAGCGCAGGTGTATTTCCCAGCATGCCTCAGTTGAATGTTTCGTATCATAATGTCCCCAGCTGATCGCTGTTGGTGCAAAAGTTGGAATGAAAATCAACAAAAATAAAAATAAATAACAAGCAAAGAGAGAGAAAAAAAAAAAAAAACAGTACTGGTGCATCCAAAAATTTGAATTTCATGAAAAAAAATCAATTTTATTGTCAACCATTTCAGAAATTGAAACTCATATTTCAATATAAATTAATTGCAAATAGAGTGAAATAATTCAAGCATTTATTTCTTGTTATAGATAATAATAATAATAATAAAAATCAATGTCTCAGAAAATTTGAATATTGTGAAGAGGTTCAATATTTTTAACTCCTGGTGTCACACCCTAATCAGCTGATTAACTCCTAGACATGTGCTACAAATGTCTCGTTCCTCAAGTCGAGCCACTCCTGAACCAGAGACGTCAGAAGTGTCTTACTTGGCTGAGGACAACAAGAGTTGGACTGTTGCTCAGTGGTCCAAATGTCCTCTTTTCAAATGAAAGTACATTTTCATGTCATTTAGAAATCAAGGTCCCAGAGCCTGGAAGAAGAGTGGAGAGGGCCAGAATCCATGTTCTTGAAGTCCAGAGTGAAGTTTCCACAGTCAGTGATGTTTGGTGCCATGTCTTCTGCTGGTGTTGGTCCACTGGGTTTTCTCAAGTCCACAGTCAACGCTGCATCTACCAGGACATTTTAGAGACTTCATGCTTCCTTCTGCTGACAAGCTTTATGGAGATGCTGATTTCATTTTTCAGCAGGACTTGGCTCCTCCCACACTGACAAAGGTACCAAAAGCTGGATGTGGAATATTCTAATGATCTGAGACATTGAATTTTGTTTTTTCCATTATTTGTAAGCCATAATCATCAAAATTACAAGAAATAAAGGTTTGATACATTGAACTCCATGTGTATTCAATCTACAGTATATCAGTTTCACTTTCTGAAATGACTGACAAGAAAAATATTGAACTTTTTCACGATAATAATTTTCTGAGATGCATCTGCTTATCTGAAGAATCTTTAGATTACACAATGCATCAAAAGAACCTCTGAAACAGTTGCAATGTCAAATTGATTTCTAGTGTATTTCTGCTTATTTAATTAAGAGAGAGAAAGACACAACACAAGGCCAGGGACACAGCAAATAATTGAATGCTGTATTTCAGGACTGCTTATAAGGACGGCTCTTTGTGTGGAATTAAAAAGCTTCTTTCCGCTCCGTCTCTTTTTATCCTTCCTGATTCCATCTACTCTACAGAAGACCATTCAATGTCAAACACATTATTAGCTTTGAACTTTAAAGTTAGAGCTAATGTTGAGTTGATGCCTTGTCTGTAAATGTAAAGAACTGTGAAGGAAGATGTGACTTTAAAGCCACTTTGATGTATAATCAGGGACATTTTATGGAGATAAAAGTTCTTTTGCTTCAAATCATTACCATTTCTAAATTCTCACCCGTCATTAAATGAATATAACTCTGGATGAAATAAATTACAGAGCTCTCGTTATAGAAAAAAATTAAACAAAAATGATTGGGAAATAAATTAGGGCTGTAGGACAATCTTTTAGAGTTTGAAGTTGCTCAATTTTATGAATAAAAACAACAATAAAAAGCCTATTTTGATTAAAAGAGCAAAACACAATGCTCAGCTGAATATTGTTCCATCCTTATGTAGTAAAAATATTTGCATGATTCATTCAAATTTAGAGAATAAGATGTGAAAATGTTGCTTGTAAATCCACCGCTTCCCCATGAAGCAATTTAAACTAAACTGTGCAGTTGAATGAAAACGGTGACAAGCATGGTTTTCACTGCTCCCAAGTCTCATACGGCTTTGGTATAATCTTGTTCTCAAATGCTGAAAGTTTTCTTGCGTGGCAGTACAGAATCATATGAAAAAGTACTTTTTATTCATGAAAGTCAAGTCCATCAACTGTTTTATTTCTATCATATTGAACACTAAAATATGCATTTTATGGTTTCTCAAACTCCTATGGTTGCACTGCAAAGCTAACGTTTAACATGCTGGCATGTTTTAATGGAGCCACTCAGCAAAAAACAGATACACAAGTGACAGTGACGTGCGGTGAGGTTTGTGACAGGTGAGGCACTGACTCATCTGGAATCGGATGCTCACATATATGAACCAAAAATAGAAGCTTATATTTCAATGAACCTTTTTTAAATTTATTTCTCTCGAACACCTTCTGTTTCGACTGAAATCTAGTTTTGAAAAATCCTTTTTGCGATATGGTCTTTTATTTTGTCTAAACAAATTTAAACGAGTGCACTGTTTGCTTCACCCCCACCCCTCTGCGTAGCAGAAAAACGCACAGCAATGTTTCATTGTCCTTATGGGGCAGCACTGCCCCCTATTGGTGCGGTAAGGTACTTTCTGCCTCACCCTGCATATTTTCATCGTGCATTTATGACCGATTAGAAAGAAGAAATATGCCACAAACATTCATTCACTATATTAAACAGACTGTAGAACATCAGCATGTGTAGCACATGTGCAATCAAACATGTATATTGGCGAGATAAAGAGAGACAAAATGGGCATGCTCCATCCACCTACTTCATATATTGTATATGACACAGCGCCCCCAGAGGTGAACCAGAGCACTACACTGCCACACCCTGCATTTCTTGCATGTGTTTGAACAGGCAATGTGTAAATTTGGCAATTTTGACCATTGAAGTGTTGAAATAATTCAGAAAACAGTTTTATAAAACAGTTTCTTATAGACCGGTCAAGTGGTCAAATGTATTTTCTCTTATTGTTGTTAGTATTTTACTTGTCATGATGCCTCACCTGCCTCCCCTGACCGCACGTCACTGACAAGTGAACTTACCCCACCAACTTTTTCAAAGAAGGAGCCGTGGCTTCCGAAGTGGATGAGCTGCTCGTTGAAGAACCAGGTGAACTTCAGGTCAAGTGTTGGATCGTGTGAAACCTGACAGGGCAGCACAATGCTCTCACCCACAGTCACATCCAGGTGGCCTGCTGGACTCGTGATCACTGTTGCCTCTGTACACAGTGAGCACAGATTCACAAAATGTGTCACGTTATCATCACAGGGATCTTTTCTTTGGACTTTATATAATCACCTTCAAACCAACCGCTCTGCAGCTGCTTCTTTGAGCAAAAACTGCCATTTTATTTGTCTGTTCCTTGAACTTTGACAAATAATTAATAAACTTTTACCATTCAAAAGCACAAAAAAATCTGTCTTTTGATCTAATCCTTTCTGGGATGTTAACAAAACAAATGACTTTTGAGTCTGGCAGTGACCTTATTCTGCATCCTTTTTTTTTGAGTTTCACAGCATCATGGTAGAAATCAATACACAAAAGAAAATAACAGAAAAGGAGAAGAAATAAGCTCCAGCTTCGATGTGTTAGCTCACTTCTGTGTCTATAATTTGGGTCTGTTTGTGGGAGACAAAAAGCTGTCCTATTTCATCTGCTGTGTTGTGTGCATCAACATATTCTCTGATTGTCTCAGCTGGATGTATTCAGCAGCAGTTAATTTATCTCAGACTGAGAGGCCTGTACACCAGTCCACATGGATTTATGCATACATGTCATGAGCTTCTAATGGAAAGGCTGGCCAATGCAACATGTCAAGAGAAGTAGAGGTCTATATTCAGCTCTGTCAAAACAAGCTAGCTTGTTTATCTCTCAGCCCCCAAGGAAAACCAACTGTCCGTTGTTTTTATTCCAGGTGAGTACTGGGAAAGTTTGGCATAAGATGTAAAAGAAGAAAGGCAAAACTTTCTGGTTCCAACTGCAAAATATGTAAATTTGTATTGTTATATTGGACTAGGTCCCTGATTGTCCTCAGTGTCACATGGGAGTTTTCTGTAATCTTAAAAAAATAATAAACAAATTAGATATCCGGATGACAGAGAAATGTATTTAAATTACTGCATGTATTGAAACACAGCAGTGAAGGCTACGGGACAGATCTGGCTGGCAGGCCGTAGACTGAGGACGTCCTCTGGATGGGGGACAAAACGTTTCTCACTTAAAGAAACTGGGCCAGATGACATAATTAAACCTTTTTTGTTATTTAAATTACTGTTGAAAGACATTTTAAAATGACTTATTTTATCAAGAAAAAACACTAAATGCGTAATTACGGTATACCTGGAAATCCACATTGTGATCAAATAAAGCTTAAATATTAGTTTCAGGTAAGTCAAAACAATACATCTAGGAGTGGATAAACCATCAAGCTATTATAATATCCTAAAAATATTAGTTTCCTATAATATTGAAATAAAGTCAATTTCATTCAATCAGATACTAAGACAGGGACTTCAAAGTCTTTAGGACACTTCTTTGGTCTCCGTTAAATGTCTCCAACAGTTGTCTTATTGTGCATCCAGCTGCTAAAGACAAACAACTTTACTCCTCCAAAGTTTAAGAATAGTCTGATAACGAATAAACAACAAAGGTAACTTTTAAGGCTTTTTTTTAAATGACCCTTTTTAATAGGAAAAGACCCTAAAGGGCCTTAAATGAACCACCTTTACCAATGTCACTAACTGTTGTTAAATATTTGACATGTTACTGTGTATAAAAGGTTCACGGTTCTTTGTTGTCATTCCCATCACATGTGGTACATGAGGTGGAACGAAATTGTGTACTCAAGGTCCCATTTATACCCAAAAATAGCAACAACAAAAAAAAAAAGAATATCAAATATAAAAAGAAAGCGTATACAAGGATCTAAGATATATGCTAAACGTTAATAAAGTAATATATACAGTACGTTATTATATTTTCTAAAAGTGTTTTAGAAAACATTTTTTTTAAATGTGATATCTAGCTGCAATTCCACAAAACTGAACCTTTAACTATCTGGACTCATTTTACATTACAGCTTTTAATGTGTCATACAATGAAACACTGTTGTTCTAAAAACATCACAATAAATTATTTTATTTACTTTATTTAAACTGAAATACTGTACAAACATATTTTCCTCATCCTACATTAATAAAATCATTCAATTAAGGATTAAAGGTTTTTGTACAAATACAAGAAAACTAAACTCATAAATATAAAATAAGCATATGCATATACATATACTGTAGCTTCACTGTGCAAAGTAAATAAATGAATCATTTTCTTTTTAAGCCTATCAATCTTTACATGTGTCCATTTTTATAAACATAAATGTAAAGTATGTTATTTTCATACTGCTACTGTAGTAAACACGTGGGTACGTGCCACTAGTTGTAGTATGACAAATA